GGGACACCTCCAAAGCTGCTTTCAAGGATTCAGATTGTCAACCCATGTGTAGGTGAACATGAGCATCCTTCACTCCTCCTTTCCCCGGCGTTTGCTCTCCAAGGCCGTCAGAAGAAGGCTTCTGCCTCCATAATATTTTTAACAGTTTTATTGAGATATAATCCACCCATTTAAAGTGTATGAATCAGGGGGAGGGTATAGCTTAAGTGGTAGAGCGCATACTTAGCATGAACAAGGTCCTGAGGTCCTGGGTTCAATCCCTGGTACCTCCTCTTAAGAAACCAAATAAATAAATAGACCTAATTACCTCCCTCTCCCACAAAATTTAAATAAATAAACAAAGTGTATGAATCAGGGGGAGGGTATAGCTTAAGTGGTAGAGCGCATACTTAGCATGAACAAGGTCCTGAGGTCCTGGGTTCAATCCCTGGTACCTCCTCTTAAGAAACCAAATAAATAAATAGACCTAATTACCTCCCTCTCCCACAAAATTTAAATAAATAAACAAAGTGTATGAATCAGTGGTTTTTGGTATATTGCAGTAATTTTTTAAAAATTGTAATATACATAAAATTTGCCATTTTAACTATTTCTAAGTGTATAATTTAGTGGTATGAATTACATTTGTGATATCGCCATCTGCTAATTTCTACACTGACTCCTTTTAAAAAAAATGTTTTGGGAGGAGTTAATTAGGTTTATGTATTTATTTTTAATGGAGGTACAGGGGAGTGAACCCAGGATCTTGTGCGTGCAAAGCACACACTCTGCCACTGAACTATACTGTTCCCCACCACCATCTATTTCTAAAAGTTGTTCATCACTCCAAACAGAAACTCTGTACCCATTGAACACTTACTCCCCATTCGTCTCTCCCCCAGCCCCTGGTAACCTCTAGTCTAATTTTTGTCTCTGTCAGTTTGCCTCTTACGGATGTTTCGTGTAAATGGAATTGTACAATATATTGTCCTTTGTGCCTGGCTTCTTTCACTTAGCGTAATGTTGTCGAGGTTTATCCATGTTGTACGATATTCAATACTTCATTCCTTTTGTGGCTGAATAATATTCCACTGTGCAGACACACCATAGTTTGTTTATCCATTCATCCACTGAACACTTGGGTTGTTTTACCTTTAGGCTATTGTGAATACTGATGCTATGAACATTTGTGTACAAGTATCTGTTCGAATCCCTGCTTCCAGTTTTGGAGATGATATACCTACAAGTGGAATTTCTGGGTTACATGGTGGCTCTCTGTTCAGCCTTTTGAGACACTGCCAGGCTTTTCCACAGGAACTATATCATTTTCCATTCCCACCAGTAATGTACCACGGTTCCAATTTCTTCACAACCTTGCCAAAACTTATTTTCCATTTTTAAAATGATTGGTGTGAAGGGGTAGCTCATTGTGCTTTTTTTTTCAGTTTTCCAAATTGTGCTAAAATACGTGTAACATAAAATTTAGCATCTTAATCATTTCTCAGTGTGCACTGCAGAATGTACTAAGTACATTTATATTGTTGTGCAACCATCACCACCGTCCACCTCCAGAACTTCTTGCAAAACTGAACCTCTGTATCCATTAATCTGTAACTCTCCACTGCCCCTCCCCCCAGCCGCAGGCAACTAGCATGGAATTTGACTATCCGAAGTCCATGGGATCATACAATCTTTGTCTTTTTGTGACTAGCTTATTTCACTTAGCATAATGTCCTCCAGGTTCATCTGTGAAGTAGCATGTCAGAATTTTCTTCCTTTTTAGGTCAGAGTAACATTCCATTGTCTGTGTGTATATATATGTATACACATAGACAATATGAATAAACACACACATTTTGTTTGTTCATTCATCGGTCAGTGGACACTTGGGTTGCTTCTGCGTTTTAGCTACTGTAAATAATATTTACATGTGTGAGCATGGGTGTACAAATATTTTTTTGAAACCCTGCTTTTAATTCTTTTGAGTATATACCCAGATGTGGAATTGCTGGATCATATGGTAACTCTACTTTTAGTTTGTTGAGAGACTGTCATATAGTTTTCCATAGAGGCTACACCATTTTACATTCTCACCAACAGTGCGCAAGGGTTCCAATTTCTCCACATCCTCTCCAATTCTTGGTTATTTCCCGTTTTCTGGGGTTTGTTTATATTAGCCATCCTAATGGGTGTAAAGTGATGCCTTGCTGTGGTTTTGATTTGCATTTCCCTAAAGACTGGTGGTTTTGATCATCTTTTCATGTCTCCTCACTATTTGTGGTCACCACTGATGTTGTAGGAACTTAGTGACATGTGACCTCCAGAGCCTGTTTCCACCTGCACGTCAGCCTCAGACACCTCCCATGTTATTCTGAATAACGGTGATGCCACTGCATGCTATAGGCCACCAGGTCTCATCTTCCCTGGTAAAGAGGTTGTCCATGGACCACTTTAGTGTGTGAGCAAACCAACCCTAGAATCCCATGTTCAGTGGTCCTTGGGCCACAATTACTATAAAGTCACGGTCCTGCCTGAGAACAGCTGGCACAGTCAAACTGGGTTGTTTGAGGAGAGTTTTAATAAAGGGAATTTTTACAAAGGTGTGGGCAGGGTTTCAGAAAACTGACAAAAAACAGTGAGATGTACAGGGTTCTCAGAGCTGAAGGGACAAGGGGGGAGCAGCTAAGGAACCCAGAAAGGGTAGCTGTGCAGACAGGGCCTCTGTGTAATGAGGCAGCCAACCCACAACAGCTTCTCAGGGAGGGAACCCAGAGAATCAATACCCTGACCACTCCCCTACAACCCCAGCTCCGTCCCTGTTCCTGCCGGGCCTCCCCTGGGCTGACTCCCACAGGAAGCCAGAGAGCCTGGGAAGACGTAGTGCAGTCTCATCCCTGAAGGTCAGTCTTGCTAGAGGCCAGAAAGATGGAGAAGGGCAGAGAGTAGGTCTAAAGGGGAAAATGGAAGACATCCAGAACCATTCTACGGTTATTCTGTATCCGTTAAGATGCTTTGCGTAATAAAACACATGGCTGACAGGTGCTAAACAATGCAGATTTGTTCTGCTCACACAGCAGCGATCTGGAGGCTTCTGCCGGGTGTTTGGCGATGGTGGCTCTGGGTCAGCGTCCTTCCTCTCCGGGTCTCAAGATGGTGGCTGAGGCTCGAATCACCGTGTCCCCACAGGGCTCTGCCCAAGTGCAGGAAGGGAAGGGCTGGAGTTCTCCTCACCTCTTTGCCTCCACCAGCTTCCTACACCCTCACCCCCGAGAGCTGGAGTGGCACAACCCTCCAGGGGAACCGTCCATGAAAACAAGAAGGGGGAGATGGCTTTAGGCAGGTGGCAAAGACTGTTACTCTTTGTAACAAAATGGTCACCCTGCTGCCAGGGAGTGCATGCTCCCAGGGTCTGGTTTCAGTGAGGGGATGGGCTGGGGCCAAAAGGAATCGTTCAAAGTAAAAAACACACCAGCAAATGTGCACATACCTCCTGTACTCTAGTCGGCCAAGAGTTTACTTTCCAGTGACCTCAGGCTGCTTCTGTTTTCCATTCTGGAAAAGTCCCTGAGGCAAGGAAAATACAAATGACTTGGCTACCTGCTTGGAATGAGTGAAGGAAACAAAACAAAACAGCAGATGTTAATATTTCAATAAATTACCCTGGCCTGGAATTCACCGTGGATCCCTTATGCTGAAATCCAGGGCTGACGCCCAGCCAGGACAGCCCTGGGCGACCACCAGCCTGTTAAAATATCAAAAAGCTTCAGGCCCAGTTACCAAATGGCTGCTGGCCCCGCCATGTTTGTCCCCGGAAATGAGGCTGCCTCCACCCTTCCCCGCAGTCGGGGTTCAGGACCTCTGGGGGCCTGTCCCTGCTGCGGCCACTGTTCCTGCTGGTCAGAGCTTCTGCCCAATTGTGTTTCAACACTTTACACACCCCTCTGCAGAAAACACACAACTCCGAAGCCCCCGGCTCTGACCAGCTTCTCCCCAGGTGAACATAGCCCTGTGACCACAGAACCCCGGAGGCCTTGAAAGAAGACTCAGTTGGGCCAGTGCATTTTCCTTTTCAAGCCAGCTCGTCAGTGAGGCCCAGGCTGGAGTGTCCAGAGCAGTAGTGCTTTCCTGTCCCTCTCCTGGTTTCTCCAACTCAGTTCATTCTCATTTGTTTAGGTTTGTCTCTTTCATTGGAATCTCAGCCCCACGAGACCAAGGGCGCTGTGTGCCCTGTTCCTGTGGGTGTCCCGGGGTCCAGACCAGGCCTCGACCTAGGGGAGGGGAGGGACTTGTGTCCATAGTGCTGAGAAATCATGTGCACTCTGTTTATGGCATCACTGGCCTATCACCCATATCTGTCCTTTTTTCATTGATCGGGGACAATTAAAATCCTTTCTTTTCTGTCTCCTCAATGTGTCAGTTGATGGTGTGGTATCAAATTTTTTGTTTTATAAGAAACTCAAGCTTTATGCAACTGCCATTTCCTTAACAGTACAAATTATCACAGAACAGGAGAATTCAGTTGAGCCCAGCGGCAGACGGGACAGCCGGTCAGCGTGTTTGCCAACCTGTGACCTGCCCGCAGCAATCCATGGGGACGATTCCTTCACCCCCACGTGTCCTCATGCACGGTCTGAAGCTGCTTGGCTGGCCTGGTTTTGAGGTGACCCTCTGGATGACGCAGAATCTGTATAATACTGTACTTGTAGGTGAGTATCGCACTGGAACCATTCTTAGTTGAGAACCTCAGTGACGACCAGCTGGAGGTCTTTGGACCCATGGTGGGATTGCCTGCACTTGGGAGCTGGGACTCCTCCCTGGCACACTGGGAGTGGCAGAGCCCCCAGCCCTGTGTCCTTTGGCTGCAAAGCTGGGCTCTGCAAGGCCTGAGCTCCCAGCCTGGGTCCTGGCCTTGCCTGCAGCGCCCTGGGGATGCCAGGCGTTGCCAAGGCTCCTGGGTGATATTGGGCCAAGACAGCTGTCCTTTTCCCAGGGGCTGAGATGTCCCAGGCTGAGAGCCAGTACAGGCTGTGAGGGGGGTTTGGCAACCTCCCTTATCACCCAAGGTCCCTGGATAACAGGTGGGTGGCTCTCGGGCCTCTCTGGATGGGCGGGGCCAGAGGGGCTGGGCGGGGCCTGTGGAGTCCCAGGCGCTATAAAAGGAGCCCCAGGGGCAGGTGCCCCGCATTGTCCTGACTGCAGCGACATGGTGTTTCTCTGGTTCCTCTCCTGCTTCACCCTCGTGGGGGCCTCCTTCAGTGAGTGTCAGGGCTGGGGGCATAGCTAGGTCTGGGAGGGGGCTGGGAAGGAGCTCCCTGAGCCTCCGGTGTCACTGCAGCCAGGCCCCTCATCACAGGGTCTGAGGGGCTTTGTCCCGAGCAAGCCCTAGGGACTGGCTAAGAGGGCGATCTGAGCCCCCGGTGCTGCACTCTCAGGCATCACGCCCAGACAGGCAAGCAAGGCTGCAGGGAGAAGACGGTCCTCACGGGGCTTTGTGAGCCTTCACACCGTGCGCCAGGGAGGCGGAAAGGGCCAGTCTGGGCCCCACCGAGGTCTCGGGCCCCAGAAGTTGCTCAAGTCGGGGAGCTGTGGGCAGAGGAAGGGTTTGGTTCCCAAGAGACCTCCCATGGCCTCTACCCGGGGTTTCTATTTACTGGGAGCTTGCTAAGCATTTTATTTCCTATTAAAAAAAGAAGAAAAGTAGTAAATATACAGAGAATAACACCACATTTATGTGCCTCCTGTTGAGGTTTAACAACTGTTACCTTTTTTTGCAGATTTGCTTCACATATTTCTTTTTAAAACATAAAGTAGATTCAGCTGAACTCCCCTCTCCCCTCCTTGCAAGGTGATTCCTATTCTGAACTCACTGTGTACCGTTTCCGTGTGGGTTTTTTACAGATTTACTACATATTTATAAATCCATAAACAGGGCAAAACATTTCTAACAATGTTACATGAACAGTTTATATGCTACATCAGGTTTACAACCTTCTTTTTTCCACCCACGTCAAGTTTTAGATTTATCCCATTGATAAATCTAATGAGACCCTGCTCATTCACTTTAATTACTGTAAAGCACTCAGCTGCAGCTGTGTGACTACATCACAGTTGATAGTATAACCTTCTTGTTACTACAAAAAAGTGGATTATGATGACCACATATATTTTGGTGATAACAATATTCAGTGAGTGGCCTGTCCATCCCTCTGTCCCCATAGGCAGGGGATCTGGGCCTGTAGCAAGGCCCACGTGACCCTGGGGTGGCCTGGCTGGTCGTAGGGGCTGTACCTGCCTGACTTCCCTTACTGTCTCCGAATTGTAAAACACGAGTATGGGTGTTGAGATCACATCTTGTCCTGACACAGCAAATGCATCACAGACACTTTAAGCACACCTGACCTTTTCATTGTTCTGTGACAATTCAGGTCCTTTGTTTTGTGTTTCTTCAATGTGTCCTTTTATGGTGTGGGGTTAAAGTCTCACTTTATTAAATAATCAACTAAAACTTTATACAATGAAGAGTTCCTGAAATCTCTGGGGACAGAATTCTGCCGGAGCCCAGCAGTGTAAAGTGTACTCCCATAGCTGTCAGAGTTCTGGGTTTCACGTGGACTAGGGTTATCAGATTTTAATTCCACACCCCCTTTGCCCCACCAATCTGAAGGGTGAGCTTTGACTAGTGAGATTAGCACTGTTTGCTCCCCAGTGCACTGAGGAAAATGAGCACTAGGGATTAAGTGACTGTTCTGAGGCCTCACAGCAAGGAATGGTGGGCCTAGGAGTACAGGCAAGACGGTCCGATTTCTCAACCTTTCTGCTCCTTCAGCCAAGGCAGCCCTGGGTGGATGCAGCCTGTTCCTCTGCATCCCTGGAAGGGTGACTGGGGTCAGCAGGCTGTTTGGGCAGATCCTTGAGCCCACTGGTGGGAGGTGACAAGAGAAGTTTTTGGAGGGAGGATGAGTGTGGCAATGGGTCCTGAGCCAGCCTGGACAGCTGAGGTAGAAACCAGGATTTCTGCAGACTGGCTCTGAGCCTCAGCCCTTCCTCACCCTCCCCTTTCCCCCTAGGCTGTGGGGTCCCCACCATCCAACCCGTGCTGAGTGGCCTGTCCAGGATTGTCAATGGGGAGGACGCTGTCCCTGGCTCCTGGCCCTGGCAGGTGTCCCTACAGGTGAGGGGGGTTCTGTGCATGAATGGGGTGGCATATTGAGGGATCCGACTGACTGGGGGCTCCTGCCCAGGTCGGTGTTGCTGATGTCCAGTCAGTGCTTACCCCCGCCCCCATTTTCCTCCAGGACAGCACCGGCTTCCACTTCTGCGGGGGCTCCCTCATCAGTGAGGACTGGGTGGTCACCGCTGCCCACTGTGGGGTCACGTGAGGGCCCGGACTCCAGTCTGGGGGTGGGGGAGGGAAGCCGGGCACATTCTTAGTCTTTAATCCCCACGTGATTGATTCCCGCAGAACCTCTGATGTGGTTGTGGCCGGAGAGTTTGACCAGGGCTCAGACGCTGAGGACATCCAGGTCCTGACGATTGCCAAGGTACGCAGACACCTTGGTGGACTGGTCGGGGATCAGCCGTGGCGCTGGGAGCGGGGGCAGGGGCAGGAGGAAGAAGATCTTTCAGGGGTCGCGAAGGGCGAGGAGCCAAGTGCCGATGGAGCCGGCTTCAGAATATTCATTCCCAGCTCCTGAATGGGCTGTCAGGAAAGGAGTCTGCCTCCTTGAAGCTTGCAGATCCCTGATGTCTCCCAGGGCTTCAGCTCATTTTTCTGGGCCCCACTCGCAGGTTTTCAAGAACCCCAATTTCAGCTTGCTCACTGTCCTCAACGACATCACCCTGCTGAAGCTGACCACGCCCGCCCGCTTCTCCCAGACCGTGTCGGCCGTGTGCCTGCCCAGCGCCGACGACGACTTCCCCGCCGGGATGCTGTGCGCCACCACCGGCTGGGGCAAGACCAGGTACAACGGTGAGCCGGCCCCGCCCTCTCCACCCTCCAGCCGAGTCGGGCTGGGGCGCCCTGAGCACCCCGAGTCTCCAGGTGGGACACGTACGGCTCTTTAAAAAATTTTTTTTTGGTTTAAATTCCTATACAGTCATTAATCTTCCCATGTCTTTATTTAAAACCCTCTTAAATAAAAACTTACCAAATATGAAAAAAATGAGATTTGACAATATGTACG